AAAGACAAAGGTACCGCCTTCAAAATCTTAGATAAGGCAAAAGCTAAGTCAATTTAAAAAACCCACGATATGTAGAGCCAAGCTCAAAATGAAGGAGGCGAAAAACCGCTCTAGTAACTTAAGACTGCGGCAACAAAGCCAAGTCGATATAAGAAAGACTCGGCATATGATGTACGACTCCTATTCAAGATTTTGGCAACAAAGTCAAATGACAAAGCTCACAACCCAATAGGCTGAGCTCAGATAAAAAATCACCTGCAAATGAAGCAGGGCTCAAAGTAAAAAGCCACGACGAACTAAGTCAGGCTCAGATGTAAAAGCCATCGCCAAAGAAGTGAGACTTAGATAAAAAAACCCATGACAAACGTCGTCGGGCACAAAGCCAAGGAGGTGAACATGTCTTTGCTAGCTTAAGATAATGGCAAAACAAGTCATACAAGAGCAACTGCAAACAATACTGCTTCCATAAAAAAGCCAAGTCAAGATAAATAGTCATGACAAAAGAAGCTGGGCTCAACATTAAAGAAGCAAACACCGCCTCGTTGAACTCAGGTCTTTAGGCGAAGGAAGCCATCCCAAAATCAAAGTCACGGTACTAAAAGCCAGGCTAATTTTAGCGCGAAATAATCGAACTCCATAAACAGGAGAAAGAAAGGGGAATTCAAACTACCATATCAAAGAATGACCGAAAACAAACCGGACAATATCAATTACAAATTCAAAAAGAGCTTAGAGGCCCCTAAATCAGCAAAAAGTAAAGTACAAAATAAATCGACATTTCGATACACAACTCTATTCACCCACAATCATGGATGAAGAAAGATTTTAAAACTCGGATTAAGGGCAAAAGCCTAAAATCCACCACCCCGATCAGCCCAAACAGGGGCAGCACAGAAGCAAAAACAAGATGGTCTGCAAAAATAGCAGCTATTCCAGGTCCAAACCTCGGCCAAGAAGGTCGAGTCAAGCGGCAAGAAACTCATAACATGGATTGAATTCCAACCATTAAATCAAATATCAAGTCACCCATCAAGGGTACTATGGGCGGCCTTAGAACCCCAGCCAGGCGCCGGCATGACCAGATAGAGTCTTCAAAGAAAAAAGACTCAGGCATAACCAGAGCACAATAACATTATAGCCCGACATCCCGGACTGGGGAGAAAGTGTAGGAATGTAACAATCAAAATAGAACGATGAAAGGCAACAAAGTTGAAATCTTGGTAAGGCGATCAAAGAGCAAGATCAGCCATTCCCGAGCTAGACCTCGGCCAAAAAAGTCGAGGGAGGAATACCGGAGTAGCATATTCAATACCCGACTCATTAAACCCGGGACCAAAATTCAAAAGCCGAGGTAAAATTTAGATCATAAATCACAAAGAAAATCTGTGTGGACCAGGAAGTGTCCGAAATACAAGATCTGGAGCGCGTCTCAATAAGATTACATGGATTCTAGCTGAGTCTCAACAAGCAAATAGATTTTGGCGTTATAAGCCAGATTGCAATCCAAGACCTCGGCTAATAAGCTGAGTTTATTTGCGGAAGGCTATGGACTACGAGTCCAAGTGCTAAAAATGTTCTTGTAAGGGTATAACGAAGAGAGCCAAGGCGAGAAAAGTCAGGCTCAAATAAAAGAGGTTAACACCGTCTCTATAAACCTAAAGATTGGCAAAAGAAGCCAAAGTCAAAACAAAAGCCATGACAAGTTAGGCCGAGATCCTAAAAACAACATCCTCAAGATACCAAACCGGCTCCACATTACTCACAAAGTCAAAATATATAGTCAAAAATTGGAAAGTAAATCTTCAAGATCTCGGATAAGAAGCTGGGTCCAGCCAACGAAGGCCTACAGTGATGCATGCCGGCCAAACAAAATTCTATACAAATACTATACAAGGCCATCAAGACAAATACTATATGCCATAACAAATCCAGTCGGGTTTAGACGTATTTACTATATGCCACGTTTGGTCTACTTATGGAGTCACACGGGAACGGACCGCTCCATGGCTTGAAGAAACCCAACCTCATAACCTAGTTTCGAACCTCGGCTATAGCCTCGAGCTCCAAAGGCCCTAAAACGGCTTTGACAAAAATAAACTGTAAGGAGCTATGTAAAAACTCACTTTTCAATAAAAGGTGAATTATTCAGTAATATTCTGGTAGTAATCAGTATAAAGACTAAAGACTCATGTATTGAAATCACGGTAGATAGCAAAGGCCCACGACTGAACATGTCGGTCCTAAGGTCCATGTTACGAACCCAACACTTGAGAGCCCCCTATAAAGTGGTGCATATTAAGACCATTTCGACATCATTGGCTTAAATACGCTAGGGCTACGACATTACTATTCAGGCCTGAATAACAAATGGAATAAGGGACAAAAGGCCACATAACGAGCCTAAATCTCTAAAGTAGCCCAGAAAGTAGTACAAATTAGAGCCTTAGTAAGACAATCCGGGTTCACAAAAGATAAAGCCTCGGCAACACAAGTCGAGCTAAAGCAACTTTAACAAAAAGAACGGGAAGATGCATCATAAAAGCATGATAGGAGTTGAAATTGAAATGGCCACGTCGAAGAAGACAAAGGCCCAGAAAAACTTAACAATTACTTTACAACATAAAAAGGACAGAAGCCCCCACAAAAGAAATGCGTGCAAAGCGACTCAAGAACGCCAAGCAGATGCCAATTAAGGACGAATCTGTACGTGTCTTAGGGGCAAGAAAAATATTACAGCCCGACAGCCTAAACGCTCAAACTACCAGATTGGGGAACTGTTATGGACCAGAATATTAGGTCCCTATCACAACAACCTAATAAATAGGTAAACAACATAATAACCTGTGATAGACTAAAGAGATAAGGATAATACTATCATCCTATCCCAAATAATCACACTCCTATCAGGACTCTACACCTATAGGTAACCCTTTCTATAAATAAATGGTTAAGCTTCTCAGGTACATACTTTTTGACTCATTCTTTATTGCTGCATCATTGGGCACACACATCCACGTTTTGGCTACGTGCCTATTGTTAGTGCACTTGGCTATATGCCCGTACGATATCTCTCTCATAGATATATCTGAGTGCACATATCTATCATCTACGGTCTATATGGATTTAACAGATACCATCAGCCACACCAATTGTTTGTTGTTCCTCACAACTGAAGTAGGAATCTTCTCTCATTGGTTACTTTGGGTTATCCTTTGGATAGTAGAATCTTTCAGCAACCATCTTCAACACCTTCAATTGTATGGTTTGTTGTTCCTCACTAATGGTTTGTTGTTCCTCACAAATGAAGCATAACCTCTAAAGTACATTGTGAAGAGACAAATTCTCATATGTTACAATTATTGTGCATTGAGGTAAGTATGCCTTATCTTGTAGTCATTTCATAACTTTTTTTTTTTTTGATAACATTTCATAACTATTTTACATTGTTATGTTTGTAACTCAATAAAGGGTTTTATGTATTTTTAGGTGTAGTTAGATTGGATCTGTGCACGGTTTACTTACACAAGTTATGGAAATAGTATTTTTTTTTCTTCACAAATGGACAAATTTGTTCAATTATTAACAATGTTAAAGAAGGGTTTGAACGAAAAAAATCACATTGAATAATTGAAAAGAAAAAAAAATAAAGAACAAATGATAAAAGAATAAATCACAAAGAGGTTTATGAACTTAAAAAAAAAAAAAAAACCTGATTGCCGTTGTACGACCAATATTCCATTAGGATAAGTAAGAAAGGGAAACAAAAACACAAAAATAAAAACTAATTCTTTGCTCTAATAAACAAAGATTGTCACCGTTATTTTTGTCCAAATGGCTTATATATGAAATATTGCAATGATTACCGATTTCATTTACATATTTACAGTTCAATATGAAATGTGGTTTTTTCTATGTAATTTTTCACAGTTAACTAAATGGAAAGAATAAAAAATCACCTTTTATATATACTTGTTTTTAAAGGTTTTTAACAATTGCGAGTTAATTTAATATCCCGTCAAACTGAAGCTGAAGATTTAAAAATCTTTATACAAAATGAGCATAACTTTAATATCCACTAGTTATAAAAGAAGGTTTTATACTCTCTTTTAATTATAACTCATTTAATAAATTTAGGTATATCAATTATAAATTAGGTAATACATTCGTAAGGTCACAGGAAAGCAAAAAAAATTCCTACATAGACAAACATGGGACCCACTAATATTTGTTTCTCTCTGTAGAATTGTTTCTCTCTCCAATTGTTGTCTATGCATGAAAGTATTTTGATATCATGCAACATTACGGATGTATTTCCTTTATAAATAAAGTGTTAAGCTTATTAAATAATACAACAGTACATCATTAAATGCAAGAATAAGTTACGTTAACAATGTATCAGAATCAAAATCATTTAAAGTTTAAATAAAAGTCTTCACACCAACTTGAAGATGCATGATGGGAAACACTAAAAAAATGTTAAATTTAATATTAAAAAAATTGAAGGATAAAGTTTCGATTAACTTTTTATATAAACTTCATTCATTGCATTTTTCCCGTGGACACAAAATAAAAGGAAAAAAACAGTGTTACACAAATGGAGACAATTACAACATTGTCATTGACATTGTTTCAAAAAAATTAAAAAATTAAAAAGAACTACGAGGTTCACTTGGAAAGAAGAGTACTTAATTGGTGTTTTTTTTGTGGGATTTGCGTGTTTAGCGTTCTAGAACCACAACCAATTGAAATTCTTCCACTTACGCAATCTCTCGTAAAAATAAGGGTTAATCTTTTTTCATTTTAGATGACAAAAAATTCTCATGTTACATATACAAGGTGGGTCCCATATTTATTCTTTTATCTTTTTATTTTTTGTAAACCCCACTTATACATTGAGTGTGTGGCATAAGAAAATTTTATCATGTAAAATGAGAAAATTAATTCCCTAAAAATAAATACATGTATATAAAAAACAAAGATCTTGCGTTTTCACAAGCCCTGCATTTTCTTCTTCACCATAACCACCTCTTCTTCTTCTTCTCTCTCTGAAAACCCTAATCCTGGATCCTTCTCTACCCATCGTTCTCTCTTTACCTTTAGCTTCCTCAACAGGATCAGGTACATATGCACCTCCTTCATTCTCAATGGTTCCAACTCTCTTTTGATCTTTTTTTCTGTTTTTGAATTTGACTCATGAAACCCCATATGAAAACTCTCTTTGATTTGGCTTGATTCTGCTGAATTCAGATTTAAGCTGTGTTTGGTTGCTTTCCGTTCTGGATTCATTGCTTTGTGGATTGATTCAAACCGTTTTGGGAATTGGGTTGTTGGAAAAAACCCTGTCTTGTGCTGCATGAGTAGATAGAATTCATGTTTGTTCCTGATCTTATGATTATGTTGCTGAATTATGCATCCTAGTTGATTTTTTTTTTGTTTTTTCGGTTGATAGGGGTAGTAGGGTTGGATAATGTTTGAGAATTAACGTTTTCTGCTGTTGTGTTTTTCATTTTTCATAGATAAAGTAATTCTAATGAATGAAATCGTCTGTGGTGCATTTAGTTTGAGTTTGATTTTGTTGTTTTCTTTCTTTCTCTCTTTAGGAATCAAAGTGGTGAAATGGAAGAATTTGGTTACGGGTATGAGTCATATTTCTTCTTCTCATGAATGTTTCTTAACAACAGAAAATGGTACCGCCTTGGATAGTGTTTTAGTTGGTCTAGGTTTTATGTAGGGTTTGTTAAGGATCTTGTAGGTGTATTAAAATGTTGATTTCATCAGGGATGTGGAGTTGGGAAAGGTTTGATCATTGTTCCTATGATATGATTGTCAATGGAGTGGCAATTTGAGTCATGTAAAAAAATAAATAAATAAAATTCATTATTATCTGAGTATTAATTAAATTGAATTTACTGGGGGATCATGGAGAACGTGTGTGATGTCAATCAGTTGGATGCTGATGTTCTCTTGCCACCTCGGAAACGTCTTCTTGCCGGATTGAAAAAACAAAGTTCAGATGGTGATGCTACTGCATCTCCATCTCCCGTTGCTGCTTCTTGTGTTACAGATGTTGCTTCCCCTTCTTGCTTGTCCTTTTCAAGTGAGTTCGAAGCCCGGCTTAAGCATTTGTTGAGTTTTCATTCAAATAACCCTAACCTTACACCTGAGGAGGTAGTGGAGGCATCAAAAACAGCAGCTGTTACTGCAACTAAGGCTGCGGAGGCTGCAAGAACCGCAGCTGTAGGAAAAGCTGCAATAGCAGCAAAGGCCGTTGCTGCGGCCAAGAGTGCTTTAGATTTCGTTGCATCTTTCTCTGAGGAGGCAACCAGCAAGGAAAGAAATCTGAAAAGGAGCAAGTTAAAGAAGCATCTCCCAGTTCAGCTGTTGTACAAAAAATACCAACCAAATGAAATTTGTAGGACAGATGAAGAATTAGCTCGTAAGTTACATCGAGCCATGAATAGTTCTCCAAGAATCTCTAAGAATTCTCCAAATTCAGTATCAAAAGGTAGTAAACACAAGAAGCCTAAAAGCTCTTCAAGTTTTGAAATAACTGAGGGCTCTGCATCTGCATCTGCTATGGCATTTGGACAAGATTGCTTATCTTTGAACAACAGCCATGCGGTAGCTGGCAAAATTGATTCTGAAGGATCCATCCAAGAGGTTTGCTCAAGTAAGAAAGATAAGAAGGGATTCAAATATGATAGATCTTGCCAAATAGAGATAGATAATGCTGAAGCAGAGTCAAGCCAGTCAAAAGATAAAAAAACTGAAGATTTGTCTTCCATGGGTAAGAAGAGAGGAAGGGCAAAGCTAAAAAAGTTGCCCTTAAGCATTTGCACCTCAAAAGATAGGGAACAGCCAAAGGAAGTAATAAGAGCCAGAAGTTCTCTATTGACTGAAATGAATACAGGAAGTCATCCTGTTGGTAGTATACCCATGTTTCCTGTGGAGCCATCCACTGACAGAGTGATGCCAATTGAGGCTACATCAATGTGGAAATGCCAAGAGTTCAAGGCACCGGTTTGTATCAAACAAAATAAAGCTGTGCAGTCATAATGTTCTTATATTACTTTGGGATGACTGTGTGCTATTGTGACAAATGTTGATAGCTGAGGTAGGAATCATGAAGGTTTTTTTTTTCTTCTTTTCCCCATAATATGGCATTTATCTTTTTATTCATCTTTGGTTTTGTAATGGATTTGCTCGGATTAAATGTAAATTTAGATTTTTAGTTGCTTGCATTACTTTGTTCAGTTTAAAGTTGTGTTACTTTAATTGACAGGAAAGGTTTAGATAGGAGAATGCAATGAATTGAACAGCTTTTTCATTGTGCTACATATTTCTACCCCTCATTTGTGTTGAGAATAAAAAGAGAAATCCTATTGGTCTTCTATTTATACTTTTTACTGTGCTGTTTATTTTTCCTTACGCTCAAATATCTGTGAACGCCGACGGTGTTTTTCTGCTGCTTTAATATTGAAATATGGATTAACAGCTCCGTGAAATGGGGATCCTGCCATTGAAAATTTAGATGTTGCTCAAGATATTCTACTTATTGAATAAACTGCATTGTGATCGACCAATGAAGAAGACTATACAAAAGAATTACTTTCCTTGCATTAAAAGGTAAGTTATGAACTCTGTTGTAGTAATTAGTGTTTGCACGCGTATAAAAAGAAAATGTTTGATACCAAATTTTGGTTATTAATTTATTTATATCTAAGATTTATTTGTATCAAATAAATCAAAGTTGTTGATATAAATATGATCGACGATCGGCGATGATGAGGATTATGTGCATGTCTTGACAAAGAATATTGTACCGAGGATGGCAATCCTCATTTTAATTGGTTATGATGGGACGAAAATTCGTTCCCATCTAATTCTATTTTGATGGTAAAATATCATCCTTTTCCTCATCTGGTGAGCAACTTCAGCACTAAAAACACATGTTTTATATCTTTATGACAAAAGCACAGTGGGGAACAGATGATGACGTAATCCTTTGGAAAATATAAAAAAAAGGGAACAGAATGGGAAAATTAAATACTCCTGCTCCACTAACTCTATCCCTCTGTACACTTTGCAGGTAACGTTGAAAAGAAGCTTCTGTAAAGCATAAGAGGTACAACACTCAAGTGGGAAGAAACGTGCACAGGGAATAAAGCGTTCCTATTGGCTAAGAGAAAAGCAAGGCATGAGGGACTGCAGAAGAAAAGACAAATCTCAACAACAAGTGTCCCATCCAAGCAACTTGCGTCCCTCTGAGCTCTGTTCACACCGCCCCTTTCATGCAGTTAAGAAAACAACTCAATGGAAATTACAAGTTTTGTCATCCACTCTTTTGCCTATAAATAGGACGTTCCAGCACGAAGAAGATCATCGAATTCCTTAAGAAGAGATTACTTGGTTTTTTTGGTAGTTTTACGTTTTCAGTTGTATAATTTTAGCATTAGTTAAGTGACAACAACTTCTTCTCCATTATGTATCACCCACTTGAGACTCCTCACGAGCAACAACCATATTTCTTCATTTTTCCCTTTATTGTAACCTAATTTGTTTCCAGTTAAATATACGTGTTATTTATCTTCTTTTCCACTCGTTATCTCTGAACTGAATCTCGGGTCTATGAGATTTCAGTTTGGAATAACTATCTTTAAAGTAGTAGCCATGGGCTAAGTTATCTGTGAAACGAAAAAACTGTGAAGTTCTTAAAGAACTATTTTCAAAACTCTTGTACTGAAGCTTTTGTATTTCTTTGGTTAAGTGAGCTATATTCATTGTGTATCAATGGAAATTGAACACATACTGAGAAAGGAACTTCCATAAGGAAGGGATTTCAGACAGCTTAATCAGAGGGGGAAGGTAGTGTTGTGGAAACAACACTGCTGGTTGCCTTAGGAATAAGGGACCACCTCGTTCACTAAAGGTCATGTGCTAAGTAACTGTTGGAGTCAAGGGAGCCATAACAATATGGAAACTTGTGAGCCATTTAGTCTATGAGCTGAGGAATCAGATCTTGTAGTGAAAAGACCTGATCAAAGCCAAAAGTGTTAAGGCTTGAGTGGAGAATATAACTATTTAAGAATAGAACAGTGGATCCATTCCTTCTGTTAAAAACTGTTTTTATCACTCCATATTTTTTGTCTCTTAATTATTGTTATTATTATTTGCAATATTTTTCTTTATTCAATCTTGTATCAATCATTCTCTCATGAATATTGTTGTCCCTTCTCTCAACAAGAAGGATATCATATATAACGAAGCGAAGAACTGTTTGCTGTTAGATTGAACTTACTGTTCTTGAGGAACGTTGTCAAAACAGTAGGGAACGTTTGACCAAACATGTCAATTACTAACTCTTCTTTTCATTTTCATTCTTTTTAGAATAGTTAAAGGCATTAATTAGCGTACTATTCTCGTGGGAACGATAATCTGGGCACTTTTCATAAGGCGTTGTTAATTCCCATTGGTGGAGAAGGGTGGCCTTTCACAGACTATTCTTTGGTGGTGAAGCCTAGTGTAAGTCTAGTTCTAGTAATATAATGGTAAGCTGCTGATGTCATTCATTCATTGGGTTCATGAGAAGGCCAAATTACCTAAGCTGCTGATCTCGGCAATGATGTTTCCTTAGTTACGAAGTCACTTCTGGCTTGTTAGCCAAGTAGGCGAGATGCCCATGATTCATATGCAGACATGTTTCTTTCAGGGTTAAGTTTATGGTTTTTGGGCCTTATAGGCTCTTATGGATTGGGCCTTCTTCTCGCATATATCAGGTCTAGATTAGAAGTTCCCTAGTTTGCTGCTTATGTTGGAAGTATGAGTAGCGAGATGTATATGCAAGGCATATTTTCTATCTTTATAAGTGTACTTGTGGCTAGATGATGCCACATATCCACTGTTCATGTACTTGAGTGGGCGTCTTTTTTTTTTGGATATTAGGGAAAATTAAAAAAACAGCAACAACCTAAGGATTGTTAGAGGCTCTATGCCCCAACAAATCCTTCTCAACTAGCACCCTACAATCAGGGAGAACATTAGGGAAAATAACAGCATCCGAAGAACTAAGTTCCATCTTTGTAGCCATATTGGCCACTTCATTTCCTTCCCTTTTAATGTGAGAAAATACGATCTTCCATGGTTTATCAACCATTTCCTTGATGCTGGACAGAAGTGAGCAAAAAGGGTGATCAACAACAGCCCCATCCTGGATCAGCTGCAGCATATCTAAAGAGTCCCCTTCCAAATGAACCTGCTTGAATCCATGGTCCCATGCTACCTGCAATCCTACCAAAGCTCCCTACAATTCTGCCTTGAGCGCATTACCATGCCCCACCTTTTTCATATAGCTCAACAGCTATTTCCCCTCACTATCCCTCAAAACTCCTCCACAACTACACCGACAGCCATCCAATGAGCAAGCACCATCAGAGTTTATCTTGATCCAGCCTTGTTCAGGAGGCCTCCATTGGGTTTTAAAAACATCCCCTTGCTTCAGGTTGATAGCAGCCTCATCAAGCATGTTCTCAGATTGTAATATATTCTCAACATACAGCCTGATCTTATGACTAATGGCTTCGGGTTGACAGACTTCATTTTTAAAAACAAAGTTATTCCTAGATTGCCACAACATCTAGCATGTGACCCCAAAAGTAAGTACCCCCAATCGGTCATGATTCTTATCCTTGCTTTTATCCAGATTGACTTGAATCCAGTCCACAAAATAACCAGTGAAAAAAGAGTCATACCTGGATTTATTCAAAAGGCATCTCCACACCTGTTTGGCCCAATAACAATCTCTCATCACGTGGCTGCAGTCTTCACAAGGATGTTGACATCTATAACAGAGAGACTCCCCTCCCATGTGCCAATGGTATCTCAGATCATTAGTGAGCAGGTTATTTCCCAGTAAAAGCCAAAGGAAATGCTTGATCCTTTCAGGTCCCCTCCACTTCCAAGCTAGATTCCACCATTGATTCTGAGCTTGCATCACAGGCAACTGTTTCTCAATAGCTTGATAAGCTGATTTCACAGAAAACAATCCATTACTAGAGTGCCTCCAGAATACTGTGTCATCTCCACCATCCCTTCTTGGCCTCTCCATCTTACCTATAGCATCACAAACATAACCTGGAAGGTATCTCATGAGCTTCCCTTAGTTCCACTCCCCATCATGCTGAACATAGCAGGCCACATCCTAACTATTGTCTTCATCTGGTACAGAAGCAACAATTCTGTCAATAAGCTTCCCAAAGCCAGGAACCCAACAATCATACCAGAACCTGGTTCCCCTGCCATTACCAATTGAGATCCTGGTCCCCTCCAACACATTATCCCAGGATGCACATATGCCTCTCCAGATATTGCTAGTACTGCCAGACTTGGAAATCTGAGGAGTTAATCCATCCTCTAATTTATATTTGTTCCTCAATACTCTAGCCCACAAAGCATCTTTATTAGTCAATAATCCAAAGCCCACCTTCGTGTTAAAAGCTTGATTAAATTTCCTTAAGTCCCTCAACCGGACACCTCCAAGCTGTTTAGCAGAACACATCCTCTCCCATTTGACAAGGTGAGTTCCCCTCTTATCTCTTGTAGATCCCCATATGAAACCACGAGTCTGCTTCTCAATGTCATTGCAAACAGTTTTAGGCAACCAGGCAGTCTGCATTGCATATGTAGGCATAGCAAATAGCTCTGATTTGGCTAAGGTTAGCCTCCCAGCTAAGGATAAAGATTTAGCATTCCAAGCACACAACCTCCTATTCACCCTGTCCAGGACATTCCCAAAGGTAGCATTGTTTACTCTAGAGTGGTTAAGCATCACTCCCAAATACTTCCCCAGATTCTGAGTTGATCCTATACCCAGGAACTCACTTATTTCCTTAGCCCTACTGTATCCCACATTCTCTGAGAAGAATACCCTTGTTTTCTCTTTACTAATCTTCTGTCCAGAACAGCCAGTAATAACATGAGCTTGATCAATGGAAGCTTCAACACATAGCATAATGTCATCAGCAAAAAATAAATGGGATATAGGGGGACCCTTCTTACCCAAGGCAATTGGTTTCCAAGCCTTGACCTCAGTAGCAACTTAAATAAGCTGGGCCAGCCTTTCTACACATAAGACAAATAGATAAGGGGATAAGGGATCCCCTTGTCTAATTCCACAGGAAGGTTTAAAGTACCTAGTAGGCTGTCCATTCCATAATATATTTAATTCACTTGAATTGATACAATTATCAATTAGTGAAACTAAATCCTCAGGCAGCCCCAACTCTATAAGAGTCTCATGAATAAATTCCCAACTAAGCCTATCATAGGCTTTATCCAAATCAACTTTAATCATCATCCATCCCATCTTCTCTTTCTTCCTTCTCATAGAGTGAATAATCTCCCGAGCAACTAGGATATTATCAACACTATGTCTACCTTTCACAAAAGCATATTGATTAGGAGTAACCCACCTAGGCATCCAACTTCTCAATCTATCAGTAATCACCTTAGTGACAATCTTGTAAGATACATTACATAGGCTAATGGGTCTGAATTCCCTCATGCATTCAAGGTTCTCCTTTTTAGGAATCAAGCATATGTGAGTTTTATTAACAAGATTCACCCTCTTCGGCTCACAGAATATACTTCTGACCATCTCACAAACAGATCTGCCAATGATGTGCCATTGAGTTTGAAAAAAACCGCATGCAACCCATCTGGACCTGGAGCCTTAAACCTTCCCATCTTAAAAACAGTTCTCCTTATCTCTTCATCATCTAGCATTCTAGCCAGCTGATTAACCTCCTGATCCTCCAGCTTGGGAAAAGCATTCTTAATTGGAAACTCCTCACACTCTTCCCTTTCTGCTCGAAATAGATTCTCAAAATAACTAACAGCTGTATCCACCATCTCCTTCTCCACAGTTAACCAATCCCCTGCATCATCCTTAATTGCAGTCACCTTGTTAAATCTCCTTCTGGCTACAGTGATAGAATGAAATTTTTTGGAATTTTTGTCACCAAATTTCAGCCACTTCACCCTTGATCTTTGAAACCAAGTTAGTTCCTCTCTCACTAGAATTTGCTCCAATTCTTTCCATAAGTCCTCCTGAAGTCTTTCAAGATTCCTATCATAGCAAGCTTCCAACTGAATACTAAACCTTGAATTCTAGCATAAATCCTATGCTTCTGCCTCATTTCCTCTCTATAGACATTTTGGTGCCATTTGGTAGCCTTCACCACAAACTCCTTCCTAGCAGTACCCCAATCCACATCCTTCTCCCAACAGTCCTTCACAATATTCCCAAAATCAGCACTAGTTAGCCAACCAGCCAAGAACTTGAACTGCTTCACATTTTTCCTCCCATGAGAATCCTGACAGCAACCAAGAAGAATTGGCCTATGGTCAGAATTGAAGTAAGGCAGGTGACCTAGCACTCTATTAGGCCAGGCTAAGTTCCATTCTTCATTAGCTAGAGCCCTATCAATCCTTTCTTGGAGTCCGCCCCTCTTCCATGTAAAACTTGGACCTTTGAAACCAATATCTGTTAAGCCACATGACTCCATGCAATCTTTCAACTCCTGAATACTCTTCCAGCACACCTTCTTCCCTCCAACCTTCTCAGATGGACTAAGAACAGAATTGAGATCACCCAGAATGACCCAAGAAGAATGGATCCCTTCGGCCAACTCCTCCAAACCCTCCCAAAGACAGCACCTCTCAATCCTCCTAGGACTCCCATAGACGAAAGAAACAAAGTTAAACTTCTTTTCCTCCAGATATAGAATCTTAGTATGAACATATTGATGATGAGATTGGATAATCTCCACCTCCACATCTCTATCATCCCATAAAATCCAAATCCCACCAGAAAAGCCCACAGCCTCTTGTTTGAAAAATTTGGGAAAACCCAACTTCCTAATAATAGTTTCCCCTCTGTTTCCCTGAATTTTAGTTTCTAATAAAGCCAACACTTTAATATTAAATCTAAACTTCAAGTCCCTAACCAATGTAGGAAATTCCTTCTTACCAACTCCTCGACAATTCCAAGAGCAAAGATTCATAAGAATAACTATACAGAAATAAAAAAAAACAAAAATAAAGGTACCTCACCCACTAAGGATGGATCCATCAATGATTTTTGAAGTCTCTGGTCCCAGTAAGGGTTGTATTTCCCTTATCCAAAACCATGCTAGACTTCCCCTCTCCTTTACACTTTCCAGTAGGCTGCAAAGCCTGAATGACCTGCATAAGGACTTCATTCACAGGTTGCAACACTTCACTATCAGGACCTCTACCCTTAGTCCCCACCTTATGAGATCCCACCATGACTAGACTAGGAGGTAGATTTTCAGAGCCAAATCCTTTATTCATAAACCCTTTCGGATTCGTTCTACTCTTCTGCATCCCAGAAACTCCTGCCCCTGTAGCTTTAGGCACAATACCCTTCCCATCCTTTTTTTTTTCTTATCCAACCCAACATTAGGAGAGATCACTGACACATCCTTTGTTCTCCTCCCACTCTCATCACCATCATGAGATTTATTCACTAACTCAACATTCTTTTCCACTAGATTGGAAACCCCATTAGGATCAACATCTTCCATTGGACGGTCTGAGTTATTAACAACTTCTACACCCGAGTTATCAATGCTAGAGTCTCCAGGTTCTTCAACAATCTTAATACCAGTTTCCTTTTGTACAATCTGTTTACCTGGACTAGCTCTCATTCTTCTCCCTCTACTTGGTTTCTGGACTACCATCCAGTTACCAAATGCCTCCTCTTCCTTCATCTGTACCACTGTTTCCTCCACCTCAACCCCCTTTTGGTTCCCTTCCTCAGCTGTCCCCACTTCTGGGGTATGTTTTAGTCCCACAGAGCTAGGACATAAGTCCTTCTTATGCCCATACATGCCACATGTAGCCCCTCATACCTTACCTGCATTACTCTTTCTCCTATCTTAAACTTTGATAGGAAGCTTTTTCGAAGATCCACTTCCACACAGTTTCGAGCAAACCTAGCTCTTTTTGTGATATCGCCATTACCAAGCTCACTTCTCCTCAAAGAATTTTTGTCTATCTTAAGAGGCCTCCCAAAAAAACTACCAATCGTCCACAACCAATGGTTCGTATAAAATTCTAGAGGCAAACCTGGGACTCTAATCCAGACAACAATGTGTTTCAGGTGATCATCATACGGGTTGAATAGAGGTCTCCACCTCTGCACGGTCAAATAGTGGTCAGCCACTATCCATGGCCCCTAATGAAGCACACTGTTATAGTCCCCATCCTCCTGAAACCTAATAACAATATAGCCATTCTCCATGTCAATGACCTCAAAAATTCCCACAAGATTCCACAACCTCACCAGTCTGGCCATCAGAAATCGAGCTCCCATACGCTTCCCCAGCAGCTTGATGATGAGTGCTTTCCTCCACTGCTTACAGTCTTCTTTATGTTGACTTTTCGAAAATTTGAGCGACGGACAGAGGGGATCATCAAGAGTAGCATCATCCTCCTCCTCTATCAAATCCCCCTCCTCTTCTTCTCTCCTTTGTACCTCCATCCAGCCCTCATCTTCACTATCTGTCATCTCATCAGCACCGTTGAGTCGAATCAACTTGTCCTTATAGGAAACAATCTTGCGTCTCTGACCGCTATTCTTCCCACCAGATCCACCAGGAGATGGAACAACACCATCAGCCATCATTACTGGGACTATAGGTTTGCTTGCCGAACCTACTTCTCCCCCCTTTGGACCCTCCGGATCGCATGGATCACCACCAGGAGATGGATCACCACCATGCATGCGATCGTCCATCACATCGTCCTGGAGCTCCAGCCCTTTCGGTTTCTTTATACTCCGATTCAAGTTATCTTCTTCTTCCGTCGAAGCTATGCGAGTTTCTCCCATGGCAGCAAGCTTTTTTCAGAGAAAAGAATTTCGGCGCGTAAGATCTACGCGCGTTATATTTTATTTTATAGTGGTCTTATATTTTCCTTGAGTGGGCGTCTTTAATTATTCATTTTGCCGCTTGTGAAACGGTTGATGTTACTTTGATTCGTCAATTGCATTTAATGCTTCCTTCGTTACATGTGGATTAACGCATTAACCCTTGTGTTTCCTGTTGACACACGTCCCACTCTTTTCACCATCGTTTCACTTTTTGTGGTTTTTTACGCATATGTCCTCAGTTACTTTCGAGTTTTAACCCTAAGACCTTTTTGGAGGGAACGATTATCGTTTCATTTTCTTTATTCTTCCTCTTTTGCTTAAGAAACACAAAACCTCATCCTTCCTTAAAATCAACCTATTTTATTGCTGATTTCCTTTCTCGACACGTTGGCTGCGAGTGAGCTGCTTGCTTGGCGTTTCTTACTTCGAAGATCTTCAGGAGCTTTCACCTATATATATATATATATATATATGTATATATATAGGGTCAGGATCATTTTACACCGGTGTAAGTTACACCCTCAATCTTGTCCGTTGATCCCACTTATATCTAAGGGCTCTAATTTTTTAGTAATGTGAGCCATTGAATACAAGTGGATCAATGGTCAAGATTGAGTGTAAGACTTCTAACTCTTACACCGGTGTAAGAATATCCTGCCCCATATATATATATATATATATATATATATATATATATATATATATATATATATATGTAACAAGTACTTTCTTATTTCGCTTTTACCAACGTTTACCTTCAATACCTATATTTCTAGAAATTCTTTGCATGATTGTGTTTTCTGGGTTTCATTTAAACTTGTGGTTGAGTCAGAGCATCTTGCATCGTTGTGTGTTCATTAGGGGTGTTAACGGGCCGAGCCGGGCCGAGCTTTGATCTTAAAAGGCTAAGCCTGTGTTTAAATGTGTCAGCCTGACTAAGCTTGTTACCTGTTATAAATATAATTATCGGCCTGTGGCCTGACTTATTTAGAAAAAGAAAAGCCTGATTTAGCCTGTTTTAAAAAAATAAGATAACAAAAATTTATCCAAACAGAATATACAATCAACAACACTAGAATTCCATAGATATTCATAAAATCAATGTATATCCAAATAGCATAATATAGAACAAAATGATTCAAAAACTTTGTTTAACCAATAAAATGGGATGAGGAGAAAGAGAATAGCTATTACAAGTAGTATAAAAAATATAAAATATAAATAAAAAATAATATACTAGGTGAGCCTAAAAGGCTCCAAGGCCGAGTTTTTGAATTGGAGCTTGAGGCTTTTTATTAAACGAGCTTTTATACAAGTTCAAGTCTGGTGCCAACAACCAATTTTAGACATGTAAGTTTAGGCTTTCACGAGCCGAGCCAAAGGCCACTGATTCGTTTAGCACCCCTAGTGTTCATCCTTGTTAGGTTATGTCTGGTCAACTGTTTTATGCTTCTGGTTTTCTTTTTGGGTTTGTCCGAACAATGTTCCACTTGTTTGTACAATATCTTTTGAACATCATTTTTCTTCCCTTTTTAGAATGGTTGAGAGGTTCGATTCTACCAGCCCAAAAGCTAGGCCTAGGCTTGTTAGTTCCCTGAGTACGAGTGAGTGGTGGTTGACTGGAGAAGGATTTTCTCATTGGGAGTTAGCGAATCTCCCTAGGACTCTTCCCTATACTTTAAGAGGTTATAGATTTGATTCATCATCTCAGAGCTCTAGGAGGACTAGAGTATCATCTCACATAGGTCAAGGTAGATCTCACGGGCTACCTAGGGCATCCTCTCAACAAAGTAATATCCAAGAAAGGACTGGCCCTTGTACTTGTGTTCCTTCTCAGTTGAGGGAACCAATAGTCATATGTAGCAGTTCGGATTCCGAGTCTATTCCTCCATTTTCACCTCCTAGGGTATCTCATTGCCTAAGTCCCGTGCCTTTAAATACTATTTATCCCGATGGTTATCCGTATAAGAAATGTAAACAGGCGAGATGCCTATTATCTTTTTTTCTACTTCTTCTTCTGATTCATCTTCAACTTCTTCCTCCATCAGGGTAGTCATGGTTCGTAGGAAGTTCCCAAAGAGGAGTGCTACCCAAGTTTTTGGTGTGTGAAATGCAGGTGATCTTGCCTGGGTTGATCAGGACGGTCTGGATTCTGTGTCCAAGTTCAACTCTGTGGAGTCTGTTGCATAAATTGTTGTTGTTGTCCATCTCACTAAAGGCAGAACCACTGATCATGTAACATCCCCATCTCGAGTCGGTTCAATTAACATACATATGATATAAACAGATACAACGGAAGACTTATCTTACGGAAATACGGGCTAACTTTTTCTTTTTCTTCTTAGCTTCATACAAAGTATAACCAAAAATCGGACAGAGTAACCTCTGTAAATCGGACAACTGGGGATTTTCCAATCCCACTCCCAAGAGTTCCTGATAGACAGTTTCAATAATATTCATACTCAGAAGTACCAGTCTTGCAATATAATCAGATACCCATCCATGGGCGCATGCAGAATTTGGCTCCGTGCCACTAATCTAACAACATGCAGTCCAATACAGAAACATAACTGAATACTACATAGTCATATCAACATGCCTGAATACAAACGGTACATGCATCAACTGAATGACATGTACAAGACATATACAGGCCATATACAAAATACAGGATCTAACATAATGATCCATCACTACGGAAATACGAAATACATAGGTACACTCCAAAAAGATTAATAGCCTACAGCTACTCAAAATACTGATCCGTCAAACGTCTCAGCCCCGTGTCGTGTCCCTGCCTAACGAAGGCTCACCAGAAGTCTGTGCACCTGAAAATGTTGCCCCAACGAGGGGTAAGATTTCAAATCTCAGTAAGCTCCAGGTTTATAGAGAATTCTCCATACCCCTGGCTCACTCCTGCATGAAAGTCAGATACAGAGTATACCAGTACAACATATAACAGATATCATAACAGAACAGAACATATAACCATATCATAACAGAGGTGTGCGCTGTAATTCCCAAGGGATGACCCCAAGCGGAATTCAACGCACGTGTTCCCAAGGGATGACCCCAAGCGGAACCAGAGTATCTCAGAGGTGTACATAGTCAATCTCAGGAAAGTCCTAAGAAGACATCAGTGTACCAGAAGTCAATACAGAATTTATATCAGAACCAGTCATATCATATCATGTCATATCAGATCATTTCATATCATATCATATCATTTCATATCATATCATATCATATCATCAAATAACTCTATATAAATGCACCTATACAGAGTATCAATACAGTCATAGAGGCCAACCATAGTCCACTAACTATGGTGGAGCACTCAAGTAAGAAAAGACTCCTTAAACATAGTGCTTAC